AGGACTTATCCGTAATCATTCCGTTTCGCGTTAGAATATTATGTAGAAACTTCATGTTTTCTCAACGTTCTAGGAACATACGTTTCATGTTTTAATCAAATGACGTTACTCTTTTACTTGAGTCTTTTTAGCTTCTAATGGAGTTAAACGTCAAGCAAAGCGGGATTGTTGATCGGTTGGTGTTTTCTACAAATTTCAAAATCAAAAACAGATGTCTCAGAGTTAGTTTTCATTTTTCTCATAGGTTTCTTATTGCATCTTGCATTTTTATCGTTATTGTAGCGAACCGTGGAACGGTACCTTCGTGAGGACTTGTCGTGTGGACTGCACAGCTGTGAGACTTGCGCTTCTTTAGGTTTGAACAATCTGGGAAGGAACACGAATGAGGGCAAGAACACGGTGGTTTTTGGAAATCATGCAATTATTGTAGACGCTGAAGTATGTCTTCGTTTCATGGATGTCTTCGATTCCAATCTCTTCACGTAAGTTTATTTTCTTTCGAGGTCTCTCCTGTGCAGAGAAATTTGAGTAGGTAATTTTAGTAATTCATTCTCCTTTTTTTCTTATGAGACATTTTTGACATTTTTTCTTATAAAAGAGGACTTTCAACTGTATCTTCTTCTCTAATCAACTTTCTGTCACTCGCTGCACTTAACTTCCAGATCTCCACATCATCTGCAAAATTATGGGTGATCGAAAGGTCCATGCTTAATTGAAAATTACGTAAAATTGCAGCTTTTGATACGTCCTTCTACATCTCTTTTCCTTTATTTTGTTTATTTTTTCATCAACGTCTTGTTATTTTTGCGTCATACGCAACTTAGCTTGTAGAGATTGATACGCTTATCTTTTTGATTTTCACGCTTTTTAGTAGATTTGTCTATCTTTTTTCTTGAGATTTTCACGCATCGAGGAATCTATAGTATCGTAAGCTCTTTTGTTGACTTTTTGTGATCAATTCTAGCTCTTTTGGTTCTCTTCCACATCTACTGCTTCTTCTACAATTCTGGTAAACAACTTTTCGTGTTTCAGAAATATCATCATCACTCAAAACGTTTGGGAATATGTCAAGCAGAAATCTATTACAACTTATAAGAAGCTTAACAAGTTTGTTTATGAAGATAAAGACCCTCGTTTTGCCGTATTTATGAGCGAGTTTCATCACAAGACGTTCGTGCGGCAAGAGATCGAACTCAGTGACTCGCTCAGGTCAGATATTGCTC